TCTGGGGGTCCCCGGGGGTTTCTGGGGATCCCCGGGGGTCTCCGGGGGTTCCCGGGGGTTTCTGGGGATCCCCGGGGGTCTCTGGGGGTCCCCGGGGGTCTCTGGGGTCCCCGGGGGTCTCTGGGGGTCTCCGGGAGTTCCCGGGGGTCTCTGGGGGTCTCCGGGGGTCTCCAGGGGTTCCCGGGGGTTCCCGGGGATTTCTGGGGGTCCCCGGGGGTCTCTGGGGGTTCCCGGGGGTCCCCGGGGGTTTCTGGGGGTCTCCGGGGGTCTCTGAGGTGCCCCCCTGCCCGCAGGCCGCCGCGGCGGGCGCCTTCGCGCAGACCCTGCGCCGCTACACGTCCCTGAACCACCTGGCGCAGGCGGCGCGCGCCGTGCTGCAGAACACGGCCCAGATCAGCCAAATGCTCAGCGACCTCAACCGCGTGGACTTCGCCAACGTGCAGGTCCGGCACCCCGAAAGCGGGCTGGGCACCCCGAAAACGGGGTGGGGACCCCGAAAAATGGGATGGGGACCCCGGAAACGGGGTGGGGACCCTGAAAAATGGGGTGGGGACGCTGAAAAATGGGGTGGGGACACTGAAAACAGGGTGGGGACCCCAAAAAATGGGGTGGGGACCCCAAAAATGGGGTGGGGACCCCGGAAACGGGGTGGGGACCCTGAAAAATGGGGTGGGGACGCTGAAAAATGGGGTGGGGACACTGAAAAATGGGATGGGGACCCTGAAAATGGGGTGGGGACCCCGAAAAATGGGATGGGGACCCCGAAAAATGGGTTGGGGACCCTGAAAATGGGGTGGGGACCCTGAAAAATGGGGTGGGGACACTGAAAAATGGGATGGGGACCCCGAAAATGGGGTGGGGACCCCGAAAAATGGGATGGGGACCCCGAAAAATGGGTTGGGGACCCTGAAAATGGGGTGGGGACCCCGAAAAATGGGATGGGGACCCCGAAAATGGGGTGGGGACCCCGGAAATGGGATGGGGGCCCCGGAAAATGGGGTGGGGGCCCCGAAAATGGGGTGGGGACCCCGAAAATGGGGTGGGGGCCCCGGAAACCGACTGGGGACCCCGGAAACAGGCTGGGGACCCTGGAAACAGGGTGGGGACCCCGGAAATGGGGTGGGGGCCGTGAAAAAGGGGGTGGGGACCCCAAAAACTGGATGGGGACCCTGAAAAATGGGATGGGGACCCCAAAAAGGGGTGGAGACCCCGAAAAACGGGATGGGAGGGCACAAAACACCCTCCACCCAAAATAGGGATGGGAGGCACTGAAATGGGGATGGGAGACCCCAAAACAGGATGGGGGACCCAAAATGGGGCGGGGGGACCCCGAAATGGGGCTGGGGAGCACACAGTGGGGATGGGGACCCCGAAACGGGCTGGGGGGGCGCTGAAATGGAGATGAGGGGACTCCAAAATGGGGATGGGGACCCCAAAATATCCCACTGCCCTCCCGGATCCGCAGCCCCTGAGCTGGGGGAGATTCCCGGGGCGGTTCCCGGTGCCGGGGCTTCTCCGGTGCCGTTCCCGGTGCTGTTCCCGGTACCATTCCCGGTTCCCGGGCTCTCTCCGGTGCCGTTCCCGGTGCCGTTCCCGGTTCCCGGGGCTGTTCCCGATCCCGGGGGCAGTTCCCGGGGCTCTCTCCGGGGCTATTCCCGGTTCTCGGGGGTGGTTCCCGATCCCAAGGGTGGTTCCCGGTGCCGTTCCCGGTTCCCGGCGCCGGGCTCTCCCGGGGGTGGTTCCCGGTGCCGTTCCCGGTTCCCGGTGCCGTTCCCGGTGCCGGTGCCGGGCTCTGTCCCAGGCTCTCTCTGGGGCGGTTCCCGGTGCCGTTCCCGGTTCCCGGTGCCGTTCCTGGTTCCCGGTGCCGGGCTCTGTCCCGGGCTCTCCCGGGAGCGGTTCCCGGAGCCGTTCCCGGTTCCCGGTGCCGTTCCCGGTTCCCGGTGCCGTTCCCGGTTCCCGGTGCCGTTCCCGGTTCCCGGAGCCGTTCCCGGTGCCGGAGCCGGGCTCTCCCGGGCTGTCCCGGGGGCGGTTCCTGGTACCATTCCCGGTTCCCGGTGCCGTTCCCGGTTCCCGGTGCCGTTCCCGGTTCCTGGTGCCGTTCCCGGTTCCCGGTGCCGGGCTCTGTCCCAGGCTCTCTCTGGGGCGGTTCCTGGTGCCGTTCCCGGTTCCCGGTGCCGTTCCCGGTTCCCGGTGCCGTTCCCGGTGCCGGAGCCGGGCTCTCCCGGGCCGTCCCGGTGTCCCGAACGGCCGTGCCCCCGCAGGAGCAGGCGGCCTGGGTGTGCCGCTGCGAGGCGCGCGTGGTGCAGCGCCTGGAGCAGGACTTCAAGGCCACGCTGGGCCAGCAGCACTCGCTGGAGCAGTGGGCGGCCTGGCTGGACGCCGTGGTGGCGCGGGTGCTGCGCCCGCACCTGGGCACGCCCGGCCTGCCCCGCGCCGCCAAGCTCTTCCTGCTCAAGTGGTCCTTCTACAGGTGAGCGGCGAGGAACGGGCCCAAAATGGCCCAAAAACGGCCCAAAAATAGCCCAAAAATGGCCCGAAAACAGCCTGAAAATGGCCCAAAAATAGCCCGAAAAATGGCCCAAAAATAGCCCAAAAACGGCCTGAAAACGGCCCAAAACCGGCCCAAAAACAGCCCGAAAATGGCCCAAAAACGGCCTGAAAATGGCCCAAAAATCAGCCCAAAAACGGCCTGAAAACGGACCAAAAACAGCCCGAAAATGGCCCAAAAACGGCCTGAAAATGGACCGAAAATCAACCCAAAAACTGACTGAAAATAGCCCGAAAAATGGCCCAAAAATCAGCCCAAAAACGGTCTGAAAACGGACCGAAAATCAGCCCAAAAACGGGCCAAGAAACAGCCCAAAAACGGACTGAAATCACATGGGGACAGCTCAAAAACCAGCCCAGAAACGGCCCAAAACCAGCCCAAAAAACAGCCCAAAAACGGCCCAAAAACGTCCTGAAAACGGCCCAAAAAACAGCCCGAAATCACATGAGGACCGCTCAAAAAACAGCCCGAAAACAGCCCAAAATCAGGCGGAAAAAAGCCCAAAAACCAGCCCAAAAACGGCCCAAAACCAGCCCAAAAACGGCCAAAAACCAGCCCAAAACCAGCCTGAAATCACACGGGGACAGCTCAAAAACCAGCCCAAAAACGGCCCAAAACCAGCCCGAAAAACAGCCCAAAAACGGCCCAAAAACGTCCTGAAAACGGCCCAAAAAACAGCCCGAAATCACATGGGGACAGCTCAAAAAACAGCCCGAAAACAGCCCAAAATCAGGCGGAAAAAAGCCCAAAAACCAGCCCAAAAACGGCCCAAAACCAGCCCAAAAACGGGCCAAAAACCAGCCCAAAACCAGCCTGAAATCACACGGGGACAGCTGAAAAACCAGCCCAAAACCGGCCCAAAAATAGCCCAAAAATAGCCCAAAACCAGCCCGAAATTACACAGGGACAGCCCAAATCCAGCCCAAAACTAGCCCAAAATCACACGGGGAGCGCCCAAAACCAGCCCAAATGACGGGGACAGCCCCCCTGACCCCCAGTGCCCCCCGTGCCCCC